CCTACAACAGTTCAATAAACAATAACATTTTAGTCACATACATTTTAGATGCAATATTGGCTGTTTTTGTTCTGTTTCAGCAGCGAAAATAGCTCCAAACAAAAATCACAGCAGAACCACGGCGAATCTCACAGGAACACTCATCCTGTTTTCATTACTGAATGATTCAGCATTTTGAATGAATCGGTTGAGTCAAAGATTCAATGACCCATTCATTAACATCTGTCTCATTCTTGAATGAATCAACCGTTAAAACGAATCGTTTGAATTAATGAATCAATGACTCACTCATTAATATGACCGCCACCCATTGGCTGTTTAGTGTTATGTTTATAAGTAGCCTAGTATCTTTCCAATGTTTCTTACTGCCACTGAGGAAAAAAATAAATAAATAAAATTCCTACCGACCCATGACCTCAACTGACAAACCGGAACCAAACTTTTTATTTTTTTATGCCCTAGCTAACTCTTATTTTCTCAGGGCATATTGAACAATGCAGTTGAGCAATTACAATTCACCTTTGGTCAATCTACATTCTAGGGCATGGCTTAGCCAATCACAGCACAGCCAAGAACGAGCACCCACAGAGGTCCGACACCATATCACAGCGCTCCATTGACTTTCAACACAGGCATCTCATATTTTTGGTCTCGGCAGGCTATTACTGCCGTAGTTTTATCAAAAATATGGTTAAATGTTGTGCCTGGGGCATTTGTAACACAGATACGCGTTTCCTAGAGAGGTTGGAGGGGAGTCCGTTTTTCCTGGTTGTTGATACGCTAGAACACGCTGCTAATAATACAACGTTATACTCGTGTGGTCCGTTGTAATAATGATTATAGAAGTGAATAGAGACCTACCCAGCTTTGCATGAACAGTGTTGCTCCCTGATATTGTTAGTCCCAGCCTCCGTCTCGATTAGTAGTAGGATATGCGGTGGTTCATTTTTTGACTGTGACCGGTAATGTTATGCTTTTGCCTCACTCTTTGCGTTTCACCTGTATGTCTTGAATATAGTCTTCGAACGCATATTGCAGCCCCTTTTGCCTGCTTCTATCGGACACTTTATTTGCTGCATTATAAAAGTTTGATAACATTTCAGCAGGAAGAGCTGTCACAGCATTAGCCATGTTGATACCAAACCAGAGCCCAAATGAAGTTTGACGGACGTAGCAACAGTAACTAAGGAGGCGAGGCTTGGCCAAAGGTGAATTACCTAAAGCCACAACACACAGATCTCAGAACAGTCATGTTTTTGTCTAACCTATGCCACACATAGTGCTGACTTATGAGAAAACACAAGATTCTTACAAAAGAAAAATCCTGTAATGATTTGTACTTTTTTAGACAACTACTCTTAGCAGGGCATCTAAAGATTATATCAATCTAGTGTATAGCCATAAATACTTTTTAAAAAAATCCATCACAAAATGATTAAAATGTAGGAATTGATCGATCACATTCTACTGAATAAAATACAACCTCTACTCATAATCAAAACATCAATTAAAACAAAACAGATCATGGTTCTCACACTGTCTGGCCTGAGGAGGAAGTGTGTGAATGAGAGTTTATCTTTTGCGTGTGTAAATGTAGGTGTGTGTGTGTGTGTGTGTGTGAGAGAGAGAGAAAGCCTTTATGAAAAGGCCTTTATTTGTGGAAAGTTGACGCATCATGTCCTTGAACTATTTTAAAATAGACATGAGAATCTTAGGTTAAAATTGAAATGAATTTATAATAAGAAAATGCATATGTTGCCTTAATTTTTGCAGTAGTTGTCCTGTGTTGTGATATCCAAGTCGTAAAAGCTCAAATATTCCATATAACATGAGTTAATATAAATTCATTAAAGCTACAAATTTAATAATTATAAAATAAGCAAAATGCTAAATAGCTTTAGATGGATTACAGCATGTCACACCACTTGGACATGTCAATTCCCCTAAAGTTTTTCATGACAAATACCCTTGTGGGAGGTAAATGAACTTAAAACTCTAGGTTTGGCCTAACCTTAGCTATCAATTTTCAACAACTGTCACAGCTCGTTTAATAAACAGTGGTGGTTTATCGTTCTCTTCAGAAGATCAATCTACAAAAAAGGAGGAAATTTTGACTTCAGAAGCAGAAGGTCAACTTGGCATTCTCATGGAGTCTGGAAAGCTTTGATTTCTTCCATATGGTTCAAGTATTCCCAGTAGGGGGAATTTACTTACAGAAGCCCTTTAAGACGGAAATAAAAAAAAAATAAAAAAAAAATATTTAATTTAAAAAGACTTAAGGTGAAAAGCTTTGCACACAAAAAGTGCTGTTGTTTGTAAAGCTTGCCCTTGCCCTTGTAACAGAGAATTCATGTTAAGTTGGACTAAAACTACAAAGGTTTTCTCTGGATACAGGCCACCGTGTCAGGTTCTTTTTCCCAAACACATTAAACAGGTGGTCCCGTCTCACAATCTGACTGACTCCTCTCTCTGCTCCCAGACAAATGAACCGATGGATGTCTTCAGTACCGGCCTTGAACTTTCCAGAGAGAAGAACAACCTTGATGTTTCCAGACACTGTAAGTAGCTCGCACTTTCTTTCACTTTTAATTTTTAACCTCCCAAAGTCCTGCCAATCTAATGCCCTGCCAAGGAGAACGTAGTTCAAATTACACTTAACAGATACATACAAGTTAGAAGCTAAGCCTTTTATGTTTAAAATAAAGCCAGCCAGGCCTTGGGGTCTTTGAGTCAGGTACTTTTTGTGACACAGACTTGTACTTCAAACTAACATTGAATGCAAGTTGCACAGACTTGCAAGGGTATCAATACTCAAAATGGATCATAAAAGGATTACAGGAAGATTGATTTAAATGCCATAAAGCAATAATTCAATTCTCTTTAAATTCACTTGGACAGCCTTCAACAGTGTGGGAGACAAAAAATAATTTCATGCAGCTCAACAGCTGAGAAATGTGGCACCCACACAAAAGGTATATCAAATATGTCTAGAGAGAAATAGACCATTTTTTTAAAAAATTGTTATGAATACTGTAAAAAAAAAAACCCACTAGAGAGTCTAAATGACTTTAAGGTCAAACAATTTAGGCTACCTAAAGAATATTAAGTACTTATTTATGCACTAAAAACACGAAGCAAAGGGGAAAAAAAGTGTTGAGATTTACAAATGACTGCACCGCCTTGAAAAAAATTAAAGCACTTAGTCAATGGTATTGATGTGTTACGTAAAAGCTCTTCCTGTAAGGAGGGGACGTAGGACAATGATAAATCTGGATGGAACGAAAAGTACACAACAGCTCATAATCATATGTCGACCCCTGGAGACTCTTAAAATATCCCACAGACAGACTTTAACAATTCAATACATTTGCTGTGCGGTCAAAGTAATAAGGGGGGGCTTTTCCAATACGGAAAACAAAAATACCTCAAAACCAGGAAATAAGAGAGCAAACAGCACAAGAGAGAGACATGGCATTTACCATCAAGGATCAATACAGTATCCATCTATCAGACATGGGGGGAGGTTTGGGTCTAGGAAAGTCTTTGTTTCAACCATGTTTTAACCCCATCTAGGTTTCAGAACGACAAGCAGGCCCTCATTTAATAAATTACAGGCAATGTCTTGAGGGACAGACAATATATAATGTATCTGAATGTCTTAAAAAAGGGCTAAACATGTTAAGGTACAAAAGGCATTGCAACAAAAACGTCATTAATGAGGGACAATACATCACGAATGTCTCTTCAAACCATAAAAATCACGTACACATGCGGAACCTGTTATATTTGAGACCTGATATCAATGGTGTGCTGCGAAAAATATGCAACGTAACACATTATATAATGGAAAAGTACCGCGCGTTAAACTAACCACAGGTTGAGCAGGTTAACAGTTAATGTTCTGTTAAGTTACACCTAAAGCCATCTGCTGTCCACAAACAGGCAAAATGCTGAGCTAAATATAAATAAACTCCTGAATTATACAGAAAATAGGGGCTAGGGCGAGCTGAAGGCCATAAAGAATCGCTGGTGCGTTTCAAAAGCTGGCGTGTTGCCTACCAAAACAGCCTTTTTGGACATTATTTCGCTTACGTTTCGAGACGCAGCCGAAGACAGCGCGGCGCGAGGAGATAGAATATTCTACAAAAAATGATCTCGCGACGTCAGTCCGGTTCAGCGGGGCGAGGGCAAACCAAAGGAGGAAGAGTGAAAAAACAACCAAATATTATGTAATACGGCTAGTTATGGAAAACTCCCCGTGTCCAGTCTCAATGCAAAAGTTGTAACTGTTTCCCGTACGATTGCATCATTTTTACACATACATGCGTATATTCAGTACTGAACAGACCCCGGAAATCAATGTATGTGATATTCGTTTTCTTTAAAAGATATTAGAATAATTTTTAAAAAGAACTCGATTTGTTTGAGAGTCTTAAAGGGCCAGTACGCGCTGACTGTATAATTAATCTGTATTACTGGAAATCCATGTGATGCATAGGCCTGAGACAACATCCAATAACAGACCTTAATGCAATGCACAGGATTCTCACAGCACAGGCGAAACCCTACTGATCTAGATGCAGCAGACAGACATGTACTGCGCACCCAACCCATGATCACAGGCGCGCATATCTTATGGGTTTAACCTACTCAATGCAAAAGCCTCTGAGTGAACGAACTCGTCTCGTGTGTGATTACCAACTACGTGCTTTCGTAAAGTTGACACGTATTATTATATCTGTGCTAGTCGGGCTGATTTTGCAACATTGATGGTCTGACTTTCAACGCCGCCTACTTTATGAGTTTAACCAGAACAAACGGTGGAAAATAACTACCGAGAGCAAAAGGCGTCCGATCTGAGCCGCATTTATAGAGTTAACGCGCCCTCGACATGCACTGTTTCACCGCACGTCGATTTAGTGCATAATTGCGTTAAAAATGTCTGAAGTTGCCACACGCTACCGAGTTATAAACTAACAAAGAGAATAGGAGGAACCTACCACGTGATGAGGAGCCGATTCCGGGGGAAATTGATGTAATAAATCCCCACGCTTAAAAAATATAGTAGTAATAACTGACAGGCAGAAGCAATTATCCAGATGCAGATTCCACTGTTGCACGTTGAGGTGGAAAAATCCCCGGCCTCTCGCGCGCTCCGGTGTTCGGTAACCCCCCTCCTCTTCCTCCTCCCACTCCTCCAGGCTGCGTTTAGGAATCACGAAATGGGCGAAAGAAACGGGGGCAGTCGAGCTATATAGGAGCCCAGTCGGCTGTTTTTCAATCGCCCCGACAAAAGCCACGTAAAAACAAAGAAATGTATCCCTTTTCCGGTCGTTCTTAGAGCGGAATCCCTTCTCTCCTTCTCCTAAAGGTCTTCGTATTCGATTTCGGCTGTTAAAATCCCGTCTTCGTCCGTTTTTTTTAATTGTTGTCGTTCGAGGGGGAAGCGACGAGCTCGGAAAATGGCGGCTCGCTCCTCTCCCTCGGATTGCGAGTCTGACAAACAGAAAGAAGCGGAGCGGCGCAGTGGCGGGAGAGAGACGCGCTACTCTGACTGGTCGCTAGAGGCACCAAACTTCCTGACATAATGCGTCTTGACATTAGGGGGCGCCAAAATTTAGACGTACATCACCAAATTAATCCTATTCAAGCAGACGCATAATTGGTCGAAAACAACAAGAATCTAAATTTTAACCTTAATTTAATATAATAATATGTTATAAAATATGAATGAAAACAGCACAGGAAGTAGTGCCTAGAGCCCTGCCTGTTGTTGCACGTTTCTAGAAAGAAGTTCTAAAACAAATGTTGTAACAGTAGAGGGAACTCAAGGGAATCTGAAATGCTCTAAATAGTGACCAAGGGCGGGGTATGAAGTGTTAAAGAAAATAATACTAAGTGAAGTGGAATATGACCGAATAACTACTATAGAATAAGACAAATGTTATACAAGACCCCTGCGTGTGAACTTGAATACAAGATTTGTATTAGTAGTTGTAGTTGCAAACAGAAAGACAAAAGTGAATATAAATACACTTAACACTGTGGCAATAATGGGCTTTTATCATAAGAGGTTAGAAATTCTGCAACCATAATGAGGGTTTAGAGCTTCCCGTTTACAGCAGGGGCCCTTTATAAATAAAAAGACAGCACCATCTACTGTTTAAAATGGGAATACTATTTTTTTACCTTCTTTTCTGTGGTACAGGTTATTCAGCCGACGCTTTTTTGATTATTCTAACAACGAACAGTATACATACTACAGGGACACCTCCATAATATATTACAGACAAATGTAAATAAACATGAAAATGATTTTAAGAGCATCAGACCTTAGAGATGGCTGGTTTCAGTCTATGGTTTTCTGGAACCTCCATTTTTAATCCAAATGTAACTTGTTAACTCAAAAACAAACAGACAGCGATCCAACCTGCAGTCTGGAAAACAAACAAAAAAGATTGTTAGCATAATACATTTATCATTTTAATAGCCCATATTCCTAACAATAATGTACAAGATTTTAATTGTATTTTTTTATAGTGTTTAATCTAAATTGCACAATTTTAAACTTTATATTTTGAAAGTTTTAAAATATGACACCTATATTCATTACATAATTTAAAGCTGCAAATGTATCATGTCTTTCACTTATTACAGTCAGATCTTTGGCAGACAATAACAGGAGAGAACTTATTTCATAAAGTTAGTTCAGTCAGATCAGTGAAATGTAAACAAAATAAGATTTAAAAAAAATCTGAAGCCAAATGATGGGAGTTTCAGGATGCGTTTCAAAAGCACGTAAACTGCCATGATTCGTGCGTTCAATATGCTGACTTATTAGGCAGCTCACTGAAACAACTACATACAACCAATACCAATATAATAAATAAAACGTGTAGACTATAATACAAATATGAATTTACGACAATTAAACTAGATAAGCTTTTTTTTTAAAAACAAAGTTCAGTATTAATTTCGTTTACTCGTGCCCGTTCACAGTAGGTTTAGCATGCTAACATCATCAGCTGACAGTCTCTGCTGTATTACAGCCTTTCTTTCATCACCACTCACATCTTGAAGACGAATTCAAAGGGTACAATTTTAGCTGACATCCTCACTTGCAACTATAGGAAAAATACAATTGTATGATTGGTTTTATTTCATTTGGAGGTTAATTCTGATGGACTAATAGATTTTTTTGAACCCAAACAATTTTTGGCCTGTTGACTGCAATCTCCGGGATGAAATTACTTTGTCATTATGTCTACCGCAAACTGAACGAGATGTAAAATGAAACAGCGTTTTCGCTTAGACCTTATACAACATTTTACGTTGAAAACAGTATTTTTTCCCCATACTAAAACAGCAAAATAAGTATATTTTACATGACAGAGTACAGAATTCACGTTCACTTACCTGCACAGATCAACCAGACTTGAGCCGGAAGTACCGCCTCATTTCAACCTATGATTGGTCAGTGGGTGGAAAGCCGTCCGCTGATTGGCTGGTTTATATGTTTTTAGTAAGAGAGATGGGCTTACGAGTGAAAGTAAAAAACATGTAACTTTGCAAAAGAGTTGATTTTTGTTTATTTGTCTGAATTTATTTTGTTCTAAATATACAAGTACCCAACACACCGTCACGTTTGAACATACCTCAGGCCTTTTATATAGCTTAATATCGCAGTATCTCTGTCTGTTGTATTGTTGTCATTCTCGCAACTGTCGCAAGCTATTTTATAAACGTGATCGCATAACATAAATCTATGGAAAACATTTTGGTTAGACATTTGTAAAAATGCCGAAACCTTCTTATATTGTCTAGTGAAGCAACATCACATTTCAATAGTTGTTTTTTTACAGCAGTATAAGTAACTGTAGGCATTCGAGTGGAATCATGACATTTTGATGACAACCAATGGTAACTTTACGAGCCTACGCACCTTTGAACAGTGTTTAATAATAAGCCAAGTTTAGATTAGTGTACAGATATTTTTTCTTCAATGAACACATCAGGACTTTCAGTCAAAGTTGTTTATTCTATTACCTTTTAATTCCTTAAAATGTACAATAAGAAGCATTTAGCAGAGATCAAAAACATTTTATAATAATAAACATGATCTGGTAAAATAAAATCCATGAAAGATACTTTGTGCACATTTTCTATTTTCATCAGTATTATCCTCAACAGCACCAACATTTCAGAAAATTGTCTCAAGTCTGACCACTGGTCACTGTGCCATACAATAGTGTTGTAAATTTGGACATTGTGGTATGGGTTCCTAAATACACAATAAGTCTAATGTGTGCCAAGGAAACCACCACACCCATACACTGTTCGTTTAATCAACAATTCTTCATGTCTTGCAGCTAGGTAAATATATGGATGCAGATGTTGCATATGGATGCATAACTGTTGGAGTAAAACAGATGAGTGTGAGAGTGGCAAATTGTTCTAAACAAATAAATAAATACAAATAAATTAAAACATAAGAAGTGCTTTCCGAGTATCACTCGCAAGTTTTCAAATCTGGTTAGAAAAAAAAGCATCGTCCATAACTAGTACTTTCTATGGTTAACTTTCAAAAAGATTTTTCTTCTCAACAGATGGCAATCTGATAGAAGATATGCAGTTTGCATTGAAACTCTTAAGCCAAACACTTTTTTTATTTGGATGTGGGCAGAAAGTGTTTTTTTTTTTTCTCCCAGCAATTACAATCCATGAAGAAAAAGGGAGGGGAGAGGAATCAAAGGACTACCAACTCTTACACAGGTTTTTATTCAGAGTAAATGCCGATAAAATAACATAAAAGGCCTACGCATTAAGACAAGAACATCGATGAATGTCTGTGGCTCTTTTTTGAGTCTCAAATTGACAATTAACTTGTTGAGAAGACAGTGGAGTCATTGGCAAATAAGGGCAATTTGAGCTCAGACATAACTTGAATTCTTCAAGTGATCATGTCTGCGATAAAGGTGATGATGCCAGTGACGATGAGGGATGAGACAGGACCAGAAGATCAGACTGATGAGAGACCTCTAAGGCATGATGACGAGGGGGTGGAAAAAGGCAAGAACGAATGATGAAAATAAAAATGACAGAAATGAGGAGGTACTGTTATTAGCAGCAGTTTGTTTTCCTTTATTTCTTCTTCCTCCTTTTTCAGAGCTGGAGTCTTCGAGTAGCCCCCAAATTGGCATTTTTTTTTTTTTCATAGTCCAGAGTGGTGTCCAGGGGCTACAGAACCTCATCGCTCTCCGCGGTGTGGAGCTGTGTGTCATCAGCGTCCGTCATACTGCTCTCCTGTGACTCCTCCACCTCCGCTGCTGAGACCAAGCAACAACATTAGATAGAGCACACAGCACCACTTAAATGGCTCACTGGGTAGGACACTTACTTGAGTAATAGGGATAGTCATCAGGAGTGACAGGTTCATCGTCATCTGGGAGGTATCGCTTATCTATGGCCTCTTTGATCTGATTATTGGCCCCTTTGGGGTCTAAGTCCATGGCCCAAGAGAAGTTCATTAGTGCCAGATGAGTCTGGCCAAGCTTCTTATAGACCTATAAAGATGATGTACATTTGTTTAGTGGACATTTTTAAAATGATAATATCAGCATGTAGCTGATGTAAAATATACGCAAATAAGCAGCTGAGCTTTAGGTGTACCTTTCCTATTAAGAAGTAAACAAGGGACTCTTTGGGCACTATTTGCTTTAGCTCTTCAAGCTCCTGCAGAGCCGCCTGTGAAGAATAAATTAATTACGTAACATTTAAAAATGTATATCATCTTGGCCGACTGATGTAAGAAGTTGAGAAGTACCTTGTACTTTTCATTGGCAAAGAGAATAGAGGCCCTATGAAATTTGCATAGCGGGTTCTTGGGGTCGATGCTAATGGCTCTGTTCAGGGTCTCCAGTGCATGGTCTGATTTTTTCAAAGCATGTTGAACCTGATTTGGAGCAAACGAGAATGCATATAAAGATGTAGCAATGCAACAATTACATAGATCTAGTCTGAAATTCCAAATAACAATATTGCACTGTCGTGTACCTAAGAAATAAGAGCATGTGGCCCACAAATTCAGGCTGAATCACTTTAGACTGACACTATTTTCCCTGCATTAGATTTACTCACCACTCCAATATGACAGAGCAGTACAGAGCTCTGAGGATTGATGCTCAAAGCCTTCTTGAAATGAATCTCAGCTAGGTTAAACTTCTCCTGCTTGTAGTATATCATTCCCAAGCCATACCTGAAGTAGCAGACAACATAAAATTAATTGGTGAGATTCAACCATTTCCTTTTATGCACTTCAGGTTTCAACAAAAGTAGTCTCTTGTTTCCAAAGCCAAAGAGAAAAGTCTGAATCATACCAGGCATTGTAGTGACGTTTATTGAGGCGTATAGCATTGCGGAAGCAGCCCAAGGCTTTCTCCAGCTCCTCTGTGAGAACTAGTTCATGCCCTAATAGTGTGTATGCGTATGCAAAACTGGGGTCCACCTGG